GTCATCTTTAAAACTCATCATAAAACGAGTTTCAGCCGACCGAGCAGCTGCTTTAGTTTATGATTCCAACAAAAATGATAACACATTTTCCAAGATAATGTAGGAGCTGCGTACGAAAATTGTTATGTTGCTTGTTTTCAGGACCAAGATTGGTACTTCGGCGTTGCAGAGGAGAAAACTTCCCCGGCGTCTATTCGACACCGTAAGAGGACGAGGCTACGCCAAAGGCTTCCAAGAACGCAACAGAAAAACTCACATTGCCGAAGGGTAAGAATTACTGGAATACATGTTACGGCGAAGTACCGCAGTACACCGGTCGGCCGCGCGCCACTCGAACGCTCTCGCGGAGCGATCTGGAACCTCTTGTACCCGACTACCCAGCTGTTTAGCGTGTGCACGGTGGCTCAGTCGCTCAGACTTCTGAGAAAAAAGTCGGTTATTTATTATTTAAGCTTAATTAATTAATTGTTTTCACAAAATTGATTAAAGAAAGTCGCGGAGCTAATCTAGGCAAGTAGTTTGATGTGAGGAAAAGATTATTTAATTGTATACATATTTAACTTATTGGAGTAGAATGAAGTTGGTCGACGCGTACGGAAGCTATATGAAACGGATTTGATGGGGTCCTGACCGGTACATCACCGCGGGCATCCCACTAATACGAGTCAAACGCAAAATCAGATCCTTTCTATTGTAGAGCTGTGCACGTGATGAGTAGCACGCTTGCAGTAGAAAGAACAAGTTCTTTTTGTAATTAATTACTTGTGTGACGCGTCCTATTTAGGGTAGCTCCTGTAGTAATTAATTTCATGATTTCTCTGATATTGTCCTCGTATTGAAATTTCATTTAAACGACTATTATTTATAAAAAAAAATTGGAAACAGATTGAATTTAATTTAATTAATTTATGGCAAATAAATCTCTTTTAGCGTGTCAGATTCCAAGAGTGCACGTGGTGAGTAGCACCTGGATTTTTGGTTGCTATTTGAATTTATTTTGGAAATATTTATTTTGAATCCTAAATCGACCATTCAAGATTGAGTGCACGTGCGTGGTGAGTAGCACCGGTTGTCTGGGAGATTTCAGGTCAAATAAATCATCAAAGAAAAATTCATTCGAAAGTTCGAAAAACCTTTTGTGTCCTTTTTACCGTTCCTTTCAAAGTATTTTAAAAGTCAATCCGATCAACTCATTCGTCTTCAATCATCCTAATTTTGATCTCGCATTTAGTTTATTTATTGTTTTGAGGATTTTAAGTTTGTAATTGTGTTTAAGAAATAGTTGTCTTTTCTCGTCAATAAAATGGACTCTAGTATGTTCAAATTTGCTCTCATTATTCCTTCCTGCCAATCCTGTCCTCACCTCAGGAAAATCACCCCCTTTATATTTTTGATTACGCACTTCGAGTGTGTTGGCGCCCGAACCCAGGCGTCCCGACGAGCATCTGGCACCCAAAATTTGTGGCTTGATCTGCGGAAGCTCGATCCTTTCCGGAAGGCTTGCTTTCTGACGATCAGGATCGTACGAGTTCTCACTTTTCCTCGCCACAGGGGGGACTGAAAAACAATGAAGATATGAGTATGTTTCCAGAAAACGAAGAAAAACCGAAGGAAAAAACCGCTGAAGAGGAGCACGGAGCTGTGTGTGTCATATGGCCTTGCCAAAGAAGGTGTAGTCAAAATGTTTGATGAACTATGGTCAGGTGTAGGCAAATTTAAAAAAAAAATATGGTATTAAAATAAAGTCTAATGCAGTTCCAACGTCATTACCGCCAAATAGGATCCCACGGAAATTACGCAGGCGGCCAAAAAAAGAATTAGACTGGTTGTGTAAATAAGGTATTATTGAACCAGTTAACGAACCTCAGGAGTGGTTAAATAAACTTGTCATTGTAGAGAAAGAGGATGGCACTCTAAGATTATGTCTAGATCCGTCAGATCTAAACGAAGCTATTATAAAAGATTACTGTGAAATCCCAACTATTGAAGACTTGTTTTCCAAAGTAAAAGATTCAAAATTTTATACCGTGTTAGATTTGAAAGTCTCGTTCTGGCTTGTGGAGCTAACGGAAGAAAGTGTCCAATACACAACTTTCGCCACGTGTTTCGGAACTTTTCGCTTTGAGAGATTACCTTTTGGTATATGTATAGGGTCTGAAGTCTTTCAACGATACAATGTAAGCATTTTTGGCGACATAGAAGGAGTTGAAATCTATTTAGATGATATTCTAATTCATGCGGCTACGGAAGCTGAACATGATGAAATCCTTTTGAAAGTTCTGGAACGTGCCCGACAGCACAATGTAAGGTTTAACTTGAATAAATTCAGATTCAAACAATCTGAAATCAGATATGTAGGTCACATAATCAAGGAAGGGAAAATATTACCTGACCCAAAAAAAGTTCAAGCGGTAGTTGATTAGTTTTCCAGTATGCGCAGGCTCACGCGCACGCAGCGACCAACGGCGACGGTCAGGAGAGTGGCCGCGGCCATGGCCAGTCTGCCATCAGCTGAGTTCAAGACGTTCACGAAAGTTCGCTAGCTTCCTCCCGCTTTTGCAACGAATATAAGCCGGCCTTTCAAGTCTTTACCTTTATAGTCTCCTTTCTAGGACGTCCATTCCCTAGAAAGAAAGTTGCCTAAAGACGTGCATTCCTTGAGAGATTCCTTCCAGACGTCCATTCCTCGAGTTGCGTCAGGACGTGCATACCCTGCCCTGAACGTAGAAGTATCGAATTCCTCTATAACCGGACGCTTATTTATTCCTCAATTGTCTGCTTGTGCTTCCTACATTTGGACTACATTTTGCAATTTGGAACTATAAATTGTAGCCCGGTTTAAAAACAACGCACGTGCCATTCGTTTCCCTATGCGTATCAGTGTTTTTCCAGAAGAGCCAGAAGTTATAGTTCCAAATTGCAAAAAGCAGTCCATTTAACACTTCCAATACTTTTTGGCAAAGAAAAAGCTCCTCATCATAAGTGAATTTTTCAAAAACCTGAGAAACTACTTGATCTGTATGCCTTCCAGAATTTCTTTAGAAATACTCAAGTAAGGAAAGCAATTATTTATGATGAGGCTCATGCTATACCCACACGGGGGTTGATTTTAGACCCACGCTCATCGCTTGCCACGAATGGATCAAAACCATTCTTGATGTGCAAGTTATACTTGCATCTGCCACGATAAGTGTAATAAATTTGGAATTTATAGAGACGGTGTTTGAAACGAAAATCCCCAACATTATAACACGTCTAGAGCCGCGACGTAACATTACGTATAGAGTTCGTCCTTTCGCAAAGGCGGTCATGTTTTCAGAGTCTGATGCTTTACAATGTAGGTAGAAAGAGCGACTCACGCGATTGCGACTCTTGTTCAGCGTGCACCTCACCGAGAGGATTCAAGATATTGGACATAATAACGCCGCTGAGAACATTTCTTCCGAGAATCCAATAGAATAATAATGTTTTCTTCGACTTGAATATTCAGTATGGAATAATACATCAGGGGTGCTTCAATTCAAGATGCAGCAAAATGTTTTACGATTGTGATGATGGTTTTCAGGCGTTCGATTTTCTCATTTAAAATATTTTTCGACCATTGAGTTTCTGTTCAGGTTTCACTCCGTGTAGTTCTCATAATTTAGTTTGTGTTTTCTTCTTCTCGTGGTGGGATGCCTAGGTGCGCGGTTCGCCTAGTTGCCTTGGGTTCTGTCCCCAAGATGGATTTTCCTTTCCTCCCTTTTTCCCCTTTTTTTACGGTCCTCCGGTTCTCCTTTCCACTCCGGACCCGACATTTGGATGAACCGCGTACCTAGGCATCCCACCACGAGAAGAAGATATAGACAACGAGTTAACGAGCGAATTCGGGTTCACGATTAATGTGTCTGGTCGTGCCAATGACGCTCCAAATATATTCCTTTTCGTCGTCAATGCTATTGACCGTCATGTTGGAGAAAGGATACCACTTACGACATTAGCTACACGAGGCTGGCACTCTCCTGTTCTCGCATGGGGGTTTGAAGGGCCACGCGGACTCCCATATCACCACATCATCCACCCCGCTTCGGCAACCCGATGACCGTGATGTCATGGCTACAGGAAGCGACCGGACCGTGTACGTGAACACGAGAAATGTCACCCGGAGCCGGAACCACGGCGGCGTGGATCACTGGTCCGATTCGGCGACGTTCGTGGTCAACACCGCAAGCGGGCAGATCCGGCAAACTTGCCACGCGATGGAGTGCAGGGGCGCCGACGGCCGGAGCCGACTCATCTCTGTGAGTCATCAAAATGTATTGTTGTGGAATTGGAATCGTAATCGGGTACGGTGTGCTTCTGCATGGATTTAATAATTTAAATATATATATATATTTTTTATATAATATATAATGTAATGCCGTCGATCTAAGAAAAAATTTAAATGGCAATAAATGATAAATTCCTCTGCTGTATAAAAAAATATAACAAATTCCTTCTTCTTGTAATTTACGATTTTTTTTTCCAGAAAAAGACAATGATCCGATGCAAGTTACTCTAATTAGACAAAACACAGTATGGCAAGGGAAATACACACAGGATATAATCGTCCCACAATTAAACTGTCCCCGAATTGTGTGTCATATACCACAAGATTGTACACTAATCTATGCATATGATGAAAAACTGAAGAACGTGTCCTGCGGGAGGACCCTGAAATCCATGCTCCCGACAGTTACATATAATATAACTATAATACGTACAAGGTTACAAGGTTTTACGCAACTGCAGACATGCGGACGAGGTAGTCATCCAGGCAACCCCTGCACTTCGTGGTTGGTATGCGAGTGGAGGCTCTTCAGCGTATAGAGATGCTATGCTTTCCTTTGCACCGTATGCACTTAGAACCTTATGGTGCCTTGGCTGTAAATATGTATAATCTCCCAGGCCTTGACAAACTTCTTGCCCCAAGGACAACCGCTCCTTGGCTACCAACAATTCCTGTGGGATAGGAAAGGACTCAGTCCCCACATAATAGTGCCGGCTAACCCTAACCCACCTGTCTGCCTGGGGCTCCATCGTGTTTTTGAGCCGTGTACAGTCCTTTGATTGGATGACAAGTATCACTTACGCCCCGGTTCTTCAAGAAGTCGTAGCTGGCGTACAAGTGACCGAAGCAATTGCAAACACCCCCTTTGACAACACGCTCCTATTCTTCGGATTTGCTTTGGCAATGAAAGTGACGGACCAAGCGCCGCCTACTACGGCCATGCCCTTACCTGTATTGAAGCGGAGGATGGGTGTTAACTTTGGCCCTGGCCCATCAAGTGGTGATGAAGCCGTGCCCTTGCCGGCGAAGATAGCGCTTGGCGCTCCTCCTGAGCCATTGCAACCAAGTGTCAACGTCAACACTGCCCCAAACTAGGTCTGGTGCTGATTGACCTCCCACTCTCAGCACCAGGATCAGATTGTTATTGCCGTAGCAAGACTCTCCCACTTGTTTTGACAAATCACCTGACGATGCTCTTTTCGAACGACTTTCCTAAGTTTCATCAATGTTTAACCCTCAAACACGATGCAGCCCTGGTTTCCACATTACCCCGCGGCGGCCCCCCTGCCAGTGCAGCAAGTGCCCGTTTTCATCCCGGTACCGGTGCCAGTCCCGGCTAACGACTCGCGTTACGTCCAGCAACTGGAACGCACCCTGGATCGGGGAACAACCCGCGAAGTATTTTTGCAGCGCCATCCCGCCGACAAATAAAAGGGGCAATAAGAGCCCAACGCTTCCGTTTGGAAAACATGTAAATAATTTTGAAATAATGATGTTAATAATTGTAAAATTGTCCTAACATTTAGATTTTGTTTTGTTAGCCTGACAATGATTTTTTGTAAATGAAATTTACAGATAACCTTCATTTTCCGATTTACTGCATTTTTCAGTTCAATTCATTTCGGTACACTTTGTACACCGTCTCCCTCGAGGTTCTCTTTCGAACCCTTACAGGGTTCAAGGGAGGGTGCATGTTGGGTCTTACGCCCAAAAGAAGATATTTCAGTTTTGCTCAGTTTTTAGCGCGAGATCGCCAGTCGCTCTGCCGCGACTCCGTCGCCAGCCCCACTCCTGATCGTCAGTCGTTGCGCGCAGACGTCAAGCGACCAGTGTGCAGGCTCACGCAGTCACGCGCACGCAGCGACCCACGGCGACGGTCAGGAGAGTGGCCGCGGCGGCGATCAGTCTGCGATCAGCTCAGTTGAAGGCCAAGTTGAAGGCTAGGCGATATTGTTTCAATTAGTGATTCTTTGCCATGAATTGACATAGTTGTCAGTCAAACATCAGACTGCATTTACATTTTTACTACATTTTTCTTCTTTCAATTCCAGATGATTCCGAGGATGAGATGTTAAAGAAGGCATTCCTGGCCGGAGCGGCGGCAGCCGCATGCCAGTCATACAAACAGTGGGTACGTAGAGTTATAAAAGCCTTCAATAAGGGTAAAAAATCCTGAGAAGACTGAGCCGTTAGCTCAAGATTATTAAGAATAGATATGAAAATAAAAAACCAAATGATCGGATATAGAGACTCAAGACGAGTCACCATCTTCTTAATAGAGACGTGGTCAAATCTTATTCAATTCTATCTTCACTGGGAAAGAAAATTTTATTGCACAACAGTTTCCACTGCTGTCTCGGAGAATCTCCAAACTGACACTAGAACTGATACCTAACTCTCAGTCGTTGATGGATTTAACAATTCCTCTGAAAACTCCCAAACAGAAAACGACAAAAAAATTAAACCCCATGTCCTTTTCTTTACGTGTACTTCTGAAGAAGATAAATTGACTCCTTGAGGTGGGGGCACGTCTAATTGACATTCATGTTTTTTCCTGAATCGTTCTTCGTACTTTTCTTTCTTTCTTTTCTTGTTTCTGAGTTATTTCAAATATGGTGGCGTGGCACATGTATTTTATCACGGATACTAGCAAACGATCTGAACAACTTTCGGCTTCATAAACTATTAATCGTAGCTCTGAACTAGTTTGAAAATTCACTCGACGTATGGTGTCATTTGATTCAAACCAATCGTTTTTTGTCGAAGTCCGGTAAATGTGAAAATGTGGCTTCAACAAGAAAAGAACTATCACTTTCCTCCTCAAGTTTTATCCTTGAAGATTTGACAGAATGGAAAAAAGTATGAAGTCACATAATGTGCGTTTAGAGATTTAAAATATGAATTTAATTTTTGTCAGACAAAATCCAGGTGAGGGAATAAGAGGAACCAACGACTGGATCCCTCAATAGGCGAAAGGGAAGGGGTTAAAGTCATCAATTTTCACCAGTGCATGGGCAAGGATGGGGTTCACTTACATGCATGGGGAATGGAGGTGTTGGAAACTTGCATTTTCCAATCAATTCGTCACTGAAGAGTTTCGTAGTTGACTGAATAGTATTTCCCCTTGGCCTTGTAACGTTCCGTTTATCTAGTAGTGAGGCATTAGAGGGTGTGGCCTGAGAATCATAATTTTGGGATTTTTTCAGACGGACAGGAGCTGGTGCACATATTTTGTTTCTGCATGTGCTGTAGAATATCAGTGTAATAGCTTAAGTAGGGAAACCGACCCTTAACTCTGCAAAACTTTGAACTGTTTTCTTGGAACGTATTACATTGTAGACTAAGGAGGACTTGTTAATCGGAATTTCTTATAGTGAAGCTCGTGGATATTCCTATTGAGAAACAATTAAATTGTGATGAGGTTAAAAGTTTCTTAACAATTCATCACTTCTTGACTCAATAAAGTAAAGTTATGTCGTGTGTTTCAGCGAAGCACCTTCCTCAGTTGAGAAGTTGATAGCCTTTGGTCAGAAACATCGTAAACTTCGAAGATTGTGAAAATTTGAAAGTCAACCCAGGCGCTAAATGCCTGCATATTTTTCTGTGACTTTGGGCATGTGCTTTCTTAATACCTTAATAGCCAGATTGGTCTGGGTAAGTCTCACGGCTCAAAGCCTGAATTTTCCTAAATTTAATGATTTACTTCACTTCGATTCGCGGTGCGCATTTCGGCGATCTTGAGCGATCACAAGAAACGTCTGAATTTAAGCAGGATGAGTGACTGCCCAAAGGATATTCTCTCGCATAAATTCAATTTTTCCACCAATAATGCTGTATTTCAGCGTGAGCAACGAAAAATGAAGCCTGCTGGTTCATTTAATAAAGAAACTGTGATAGTCAGTCATTAGAATCTACTCCGATCAGACATTTAAAATAAGTAACCACAGTTTTCATTGAAATTGCTGAAGCTGACTCATCATATGAAGCGATTATTAACGAAGACCTTCAAACATGGAGGTAGACACATACACTTGGGAAAACCGCCGTGACGCAGTTGCTTCCAGTGCCACTTCTTAGTGGGGCCGATAAGTGGAAAATATCATAAGAATCGTGCACTTCTGGAAGAAAGCATGAAAATTTCAGGGATTCATCTCTACCCTATAGACATTTGATTCAGACATAGACTCCAAAAATCTGAGCCCCCTGGGGGGGCAGGGGGGCCCCCAAATTTTGAATTTTGAATAACTACGGAACGGCTAATGTTAGCGTAATTTTTTTTAAGCAGGACGATAGGAAATTTTATCAGGAACAAAAATGGTTTTGATGAATTTTTCTGTGGGATCGATATTTAAGGCGTGAAACAGGAAAAACCATCGGGGGACGGGGAGCCGGCCGTTCTGAGGCAGATCTGCGCGCTGCGCTGTTTGCCCGGGACGCGCGCGGCGGCACAGTACGGTGTTACCGACGAAACAGCCGCTTGTCTTGGTTTAATCTCAACGATGCGCAGTTTTAAAAATAATAATGAATTTACCGTACTGCCTAAATACTTTTCCTCAGTAATTTAAGCTCTACTTTTTATAAGTAATACATAAAAACAAGCAAAAGCGAAATACTCCAATGTGAGAGCGCCGAGTCAATAGGAGGGATCGGTCATCGCGCATCACGCGTCTTGTTTTCTCTGAATGCAGAGCTTTTCCGACCTCATTACAGAGTAAATTACCCTTTCCTCATGTAAGTTTTGTACAGACAGGATTACATTTTTTTAAGATATTAGAGCGAAATAACAAGTTTTAATACGATTTTGACCCACTTTTTCATGACTATTGGAAATGGCGGATCCTTCGTAACTTATTTTCAGCTTATTTTTCATGTTACTTTCGGCGAATGAGACAATGAGCTGCTTACATAACCATGAATTTTGCAAAACTTGGTAGAGACATTAATTGAGGAGTGAGGAGGGAGGGTAGGGGGGCTTCACATTCCCTTCGCCACCAAGGTTACCAGATTTCCTTCATGTTCATTGGTTTCTCGCAATTGCATAGGTACTGATTCATACGGAACATTCCGACAATGTTCTTTTCTCCTCTTTTTCCCTCCAGCCAGTCAATAGAAGTTTTCATTATCATGAACTCCCCATTTTTTCAGTTATTCAACAAACATGCATTTTTAAAAAAAAATAGAACAATACATTAAATAAATGATAAAAAAGAAGATATCTGAATACTATCGCCTCTTTTTATCGAGTCATCCTTGAAGATATTATTGGTACTTACCATGACACATAGAAAATGGAATGAGCAGTAAAAAAATCCATGTATATTATCTTACATTTTGTTGTATGGAATTTAGAGTGGAGTTGTTAACATTTGTATTGAAAAAAATATTAATATAGGAGGAAATTTATTTATCATGCAGGTTCTGATTCTTTAAAGAACCTCTGAGAAGGACCAGGCCTCAGGAAGAAATTTATTGCATTTCTTCTTTTCAACCCGCAAATCTCGTACCGATTTTTGATTTGTATGGAGCTCATGGAAGAGTTCTAGGTAAGTACGTCGGAGACAATTTTCAAGAAACGGGACTTGCAAAATATGCAATGCACAAAACGTACACCTTAAACTTTATCGTACATTGTAACACTGATCGAATTGGCTTTGGAGATTATCAAAAGGTTAATTTATCGTCAAAATATCAAAAAATCAGTCAAAATCAGTAATCAGTTGCAAAATTACCGAGATTGCGGAATATCGTACCTATGATGCGCTGACATAAGAGCAGGATAGGTTCCCAGTACTTAGGCGCGATTTCCTATCACTCAAATGGACCCTTTTGACAGATTAGCGGATACGGCGGCTAGTTATTACTTAATAATATTCTTTGTACTGTACAAGAAGCAGTCCAACAAAGGTTTTTTGGGGGTCATTTATCGATATCAAGCTTTCTCAAGATTCTTTTGCCGTTTTTTTGGAGCAAGTTTTGAAGGTGGTTTTGGTCCTCTTAAAAAAATGCCTATACGTAGCAATGATGTACCAAAATGTTCCTGAAAGAGAGGAGAATAAGCATGTTTCCATGTATGCTCATTGTTTACAAAATTAGGCTCCCTGTCTTAAGTAAGCATATTTAGATACCATCCTGATGTCGCAGCACCGAGAGAAAGAGAAAGAAAAACACTTTAAAATAATTTTTCAGGTCATCGTGGTACATAAATAAGATTTGTGACTTTTAGCCCCCCCCCCTTCCCGAGACAACTGTTCCTCAGATTTTATTCCGTTCAACTGATGTCTGATGCAGTTATCTCGGATGCTGTAATAAAACTTGACAAACCCATACAACAAAACAATTCGGAACTCCAGCACTTAACCCCTTCTCTTTCTGTTGCCGTGCGCTCGCTTGTATACCTATATTACCTGCATAAGTTAAGCCCTATTTTAAGGCTTTATAGGTAGTACAATATATTCACAATACTTTTAAAACTGCGCATCGTTGAGATTAAACCAAGACAAGCGGCTGTTTCGTCGGTAACACCGTACTGTGCCGCCGCGCGCGTCCCGGGCAAACAGCGCAGCGCGCGGATCTGCCTCAAAACGGCCGGCTCCCCGTCCCCCGATGGTTTTTCCTGTTTCACGCCTTAAATATCGATCCCACAGAAAAATTCATCAGAACCATTTTTGTTCCTGATAAAATTTCCTATCGTCCTGCTTAAAAAAAATTACGCTAACATTAGCCGTTCCGTAGTTATTCAAAATTCAAAATTTGGGGGCCCCCCTGCCCCCCCAGGGGGCTCAGATTTTTGGGGTCTATGTCTGAATCGAATGTCTACAGGGTAGAGATGAATCCCTGAAATTTTCATGCTTTCTTCCAGAAGTGCACGATTGTTATGCTTATCGGCCCCACTATCTATTGCAGATGAAAAATTCAATCCCAGGGCCAGCCTCACCTCTTTTCAAATGAAGGAAACAGTCACTTTAGAACCCTCGGATAATAACCCTGTTACGGAGGAGTGTAAAAATTTAAAAATGGGACAGGAAGAAATTCAGTCTTATTCAACACTAATTTTTACAGATAAAAAAAAATTGTCTTTCGATTACTTTGTGAGAACAATTAAGAGACCGCAGAAGTTCTCCCTGAGTGGGAAGTAATGATAGTTTTGAATTATGTTCGATGCATCGGACCCACAAAAGGCAGTGCTGTTGATAAATTGTATACAATTTATCTGAATCATATCTTTGAATCTATTTATAAAAGCGTCTTGTATTCTTAGAACCACGAATGAAATTGAGGCACTGTGAATTCATTCACGACAGCGAACTGTACTGTAATTTCTTACTATTACTAATTTAATTTCACTTTTTGATAGTGAATTCTCTAAACACAACGCACGTTCACTTCCATGAGCAAAAAACAAACGCTTCGACTTTTCATTCGACCTAACTTCGGACTTTGTTGGTTGACAATTTTCACCGTAAAAATCGTAACGGAAAAATTTCCATTCATCAGAGTCAAAAGAAGAGTTTGATGAAAAATTGAAGCGTGCGAATGGAGCTTAGTAGAGACACGCCCAATTGCTTCAACTGCCGAAAAAGCGACAAAATTAGAAAATCCCGAGACATTTTTTCTAAGCTTATTCTTCAACTGATTCCTCGTTTTTCTCCTGATCCATCGCATCAGTTCTCGTACAAGAGGCGTAGTTAGGAGGGGGCAGGATCATTTGACATGATGGAGGTGAGTGACGAGGAAGATGAAAAGATGAAATAATTTTACGAATTATCGGCTGCAGGGCCAGGGAGCGAGCGACTAAGACAAATTGCTTTGGGGACCGATTCCATTGGTATCAGTATAACATTTATGTTCAGCAGTGACCGTGCTAACTTAGAGTGGCTTTTCCCTCAGCACTCTCTGACAAACCTAGGCGATTGCATTTAGGCAGAGTCCTGAGTGCTGAGCAGTCACTACTTAGCAGTGACCGGTGTGCTTCCAAGTGGCCAACCGACGTAGGGATAAACGAAATCGCACGTCGGTCAAGAACCGGGTCGAAAATTGGGATCATAGATCGGTCCGAAGAGGGTGAGGAATCTGATCCGAAGATGAGGATACAGA